GCCATGTGCCACCAGCCCTGGAGGTGGCCACAGGATGTCACTCATGCTGAGGGAACTTCATTGTGTCAGTGGCCAAGTGCAACCTAGAAAGTTGTGCCAGCCCAAGCTGGCAAATGTAGAGGTTACAGGAGGAAAGGAGTGATGGAGCGAGGACATGGGCTGCCTTCCTGGAGGTGTTCCTGCCTCTGAACCTCACTGGGGAGTCACATTCTCAATTTCTGGATGACTCTACCTTGCCATCTGCTCCAAACACTCACAGGACTCTGGAGTCTCTGTCTTTTGGCAGTGGCTCTTCTGTGCTGTGCCCAAGGATGGCCCCTTTGCAGCTGTGCCAAGTGTCCTGATGACACTGAAGGACACGAGACAAGGTCCTGGTCCTGAACACCAGCAGAGAAGGTCCCTGAGCACTTGGTCACTGCAGTGTTGGGATGGTGCCCACATTAGCTGTAAGGTCACAGGGTGAACTTCATTCCCTGTTATCCCTGCAGTAAGTGCCTGTAGGGAAGCCACAAGCTGCCATGGCCATGTTTGGATCATGCTGCTGGGATTGTGTAGGACAGGAACCCCTGGAGCAGCGTGGAGAAGGGCACTTGTCCAGGAGGGCCTGCAGCCTCACCAGCACCCTGCACTGCTGGGGCTTGGAGCTGCTGCTTTCTGGCCCTCACCCTGCACAAGGAGAGTTGAACAGGACTCCCTGGGGAGCAGAGATCCCTGCCAGAACTCGTGGGCTGGGATTTTACTGTCTCTCCCCATGTGTGGGTTCCTGCTCTGCTTTGTGAGAGGGACACGGGCGCGTGATGATGGGAGGGCTGTGAGGGGGTGAGGGCTGTGGGGCTGCACAGAAGAGCTGCTCTGCAGCCAAAACCCCTCCCTTTGGGTCCTGCTGGGTCCTGCTCTGTCCCCAGCACCAGCATGGGGACCTTCCTGGTGTCAGCTGAAGAAGGTGCCATCACCCCCGGGTCCCTGTGACTGTTCCCTTCTTGTTGCTTCAGGCTTTGTCATGGTAACGAGGCAGTGCAGGGGAGGGAAGGGAGGCAGAGATAAGAGCCCTCCCTTCTGCTGTCCTAGGGGTTTATCTGCAGTTCCCTGGCAGGGTGGTGAGGGCTGGCACGGGGTGCTGCCCGGCCAGACAAGAACAAGGGGGAAGGAAGGATGTTCAGACTGAGTGACAAGGCCATGAAATGTTATATTGTGTAACCCTCTCAGAGAGGGAGCAGGATGAGGGGGAGAAATGGGGGGTTAATGGGCAAGGCAAGTCCTGAGCTCTTCTGGAGGTGGGAGGGAGCCCTGGGAAACAGAAATGCCTCCTGTGGAGTAATCCTTTCTGTCCAAAGGTCCCACAGCACTTCCCAGAGGTGCAGGTCCTGCCCTGGTGAGAGGCAAACTTCCAGAAGCTGTTTTATTTTCATGGAGACACCCAGGAGAGTTAGGGCATGTGGGCTAAGAACGGGTCAGGGCTCTTGTCCCTTTGTGGGGTGGCCCTCGATCAGCACCTTAATCCTTGTGCATACTCAGCACTCTCAAATCCAGCAAGGATGGAGCATATTCCTCAAGCTGGGAGTGGGCACTTGTGCAAGGCTCTGTGTTGCCCCATCCTGTTCCTATTTTGGGGCCAGGGTAGAGCTGCTGAGTTGTCTTTTTAGCTGCTGTGTTCCCCTCTCTCTGGCTTTCCAGGGAACCTCTTGTGTCTCCAGGGCCACTGGGGAGAAGCCACCAAGTCCCAGCAGTCAGGGAAGGAGAAGCCTCTTCTGAGCCGGGCAGGGTGTCTTGGGACCAGCTTAAGCCTGGCCAGACTCTAGGTGGGGCTGAAGAGTTGGAGATCTTTCCTGCACCGAGCCTGGCCCGGGTTGGGTTTGGGTACCCGGGAGCGTTCTTGAATGGAAAGCCCTTGGCTGTGGTTCCACTGCCCCTGGAGATCCCTTAGTGGTGCTGGGGTCCCAAAGAGGTCAGAGAGGGGCTTCCCACCCCACGTGCAGGCAACGAGGGGTGGCTGTGGACACCTGGTGCTGCTGGGAGGGAGGTTTGCAGATTCTCCTCCCGTGGGCGAAGGCATCAGGGCTGGGGGTGTTGCTGGCAGGAGGTGCCACGGGCAGGATGGAGCCACCTCGGCCCCGCTGAGACTCCAGCCCCTCTCCAGAGCCCCCCCTCCACCTCCAGTGTCACCCTGCAGGGACACCAGGCACCTTCCCAGAGCTGGCATTACCCGTTAGCTCATGCTGTGACCTGCCTTCCTTCCTCCTCTCCCCTTGCTGCCAGGTTCCCTCCGCAGCGTCCGCGATGATTCATCTTTGCCTGTGGCAGCAAATGCTGGTGCAGGGAAAACAAAGCACGGCCCCTTCCCGTGGGGAGGGAGACAGACAGTTCCAGTTACCCTTTGGAGGCAGCTCAAGCTTCGCAAGGCTTCGGCCCAGCTCATTTTTGGTGGCTGAGATCAACCCGATTCAGCACAGCAGGTCCTGCCCAGCATGGCTGGGAGCAACTCGGAAAAAATCCTCAAAACTTCAGCAGCCAAATGCTGAGTAACATTTGTTTTAGTGCCTGTTTTGTCTTATCCCCAGCCCATGCCTGGGGTGCAGGGCTCTGGTGCTCTGCAAACGTGACGATCATGATTCAAGTGGAGGTTTTGAGAGCTGCGTTAACCCTTTTTTGTGGGGAGTGTGGACCCCTTTCTCCTCCCTTTTACAACATCTCATCAGAAAGAGGGTGGCCAGCAGGGCTGGGGAAGTGATTGTCCCCCTGTGCTGGGCACTGGTGAGGCTGGACTTTGAATCCTGGGATCAGTTTTGGGTCCCTCATGACCAGAAGGACATTGAGGGGCTGGAATGAGTCCAGGAAAGGGCAGTAGAGCTTGGGCAGGGGCTGGAGCACAAGTCTGAGGAGCAGCAGAGGGACTGGGGGGTGTCCAGCCTGGAGCAAAGGAGGTTGAGGGGAGACCTTCTGGCTCTGCAACTGCCTGAGAGGAGGTTGGAGCCAGGGGGGGGCGGGCTCTGCTCCCCAGGAACAAGCAATGGGATGAGAGGAAATGGCCTCAAGTTGTGCCAGGGAATGTTTAGGCTGGAGATTAGAAGAAACTTCTTCACTGAAAAGGTCCTCAGACCCTGGCACAGACTGCCCAGGGAGGTGGTGGATTCACCACCCCTGGAGGTGTTTCAAAGATGTGGTGCTGAGGGATGTGGTTTAAGCACCAGACTCTGTAGTGCTGGGTTATGGTTGGACTGGATGATCTGAAAGGTCTTTTCCAAGCAGAACCAGTCTGTGATTGTCTGACCTCAGGGCACTGCTCACTCTGATGCCCACCCTGGGCATCACCAGGGCCCACTTTTGATGCTGTTCCCAGGCTGAGCTCCAGCAGCCACGAGTCCCCGTGCCTCTCCTTGCCCACCCAGCAGCAATTTGTCCCTGGCTTGGGAAGTGGCACCCCCCAAACAAACCCCAGCACCAGCTGGTACCAAACCAGCGCTCGCCTGGTTAAAAGGCTGTGCTGCTCACCCTGGGATTGCACAAGCTGAACTGGAGCCAGTCCTGGAGTTCTTAGAAATAAGTGAAGCCGTGTCCCGGGCCAGTTGGCCCAGCCAGGCTGTGCAAGGAGCCCAGATCCAGTTGCAGCCTGTTCTGAGCCCTGGGAACGGCTCTCAGGGAAGGATGTGGATCCGTGTGGGGTGCAGCCCTCGCCTCGTGCCTGTGGGAACTGGAATGGAAGGGGCTGCTGTTCCCAGCAGGGATCAGTGACCTGGGAACGTGGGTTCTGGCTGGTGCTGAGTGAGGGGTGTAGATGGGATGGGACAGCAGGATGGGGGCTGAGGGGGGGGTG